AGGGAGGTGCATCCCAGACAAGGGCCCCTGCCCTCATGGCTAGCTGGGGGACAGGTATTTAAACACAAGCTGTGGCAAATCTCAGGAAGGGAACAAATGCTCCACAAGAGACTAGAGAGCGACCAAGAGGAATCTACAAAGTCCTTGCAAATGAGCACAGGCGAGGGCAGAATGATGCGTTTCAGCATGGTTTATTACTGAGCGTTTGCAAACGACCTCTGCGTCCAACAGGAGGGGTCAGCCACGTGATGCTGTGGCCAGGGGTGCAGGTGTGGGTGGCACCGGCACCAGCCCCAGGTCTATCTGCTCCTTTTTCCGCTGCCCTGCCCAACACAGAGCTGGCTGCCCTTTTCTGTCGCAAGTGACTGAGTGTGCATCTGCAGAGGGCTTTGCCACCAAAGCGCAGCGGCCTTACCCGTGAGCGTGTGTGTGCATGTGCGAAAACCTGGTCTTTCGTTGCCCCTTGTGAAATACCAAATAATAACGCCGTCTCTTTTGCTTTATTCCAGTGACACCCACCAGGCACGTCCCTGCCTCAGGCGTTTGCACTTGTACTGGCTGTCTCCTCCACCTGAGATTGTCCTCCTCCCAGATATTCAGTGTCACCCCCTCAATCTTTGCTCAAACACCCCTGTCTCTGACCACTCTATTTTACTTCGTAATCGGCTCCTTGCCCTGCACGCCTGGTGGTCCTTATCCTGGGTTATTTTCTCATTTTTCGATACCACTAGCGTACTATGTAATTCACTTATTCGATTTATTGTTCACTGGCTGGCTGTCCATCGGAAAAAGAGGCCCTGTGAAGGCAGGATTTTTGTCTATGTTGCTCACAGCATGTCCCCCAGTACCTGGAACAGTGCCTGGCTCTCAGTGGACACTCTACAAATACTTGCTAAATTAACTAAACCACATTCCGAGCGTCCTCTCGGTGTCTTATTCACAGCAAACTGAAACCCCAAGCTGCCTAAGACAAAAGAAAGAAAAAAAGGAGCAAAAGAAAACTATTGTAGGAGACCTAAGACTTGGGGGAGGGCCTATCCTCCTGACCTAAGACTTGCTGTGCGACCACGGACAGGTTACAGTGCCTGTCTGTGCCTGTCTCGCCCTCTATGAGACAGACTGGACTCATTCTTGCTCACTCTCCAAGTGCCCGCAAACTCTGCCAACCTAGCCTTCTCTGATGGCTCCTTCCTGCCACTGTCCCTTAGAAACGCAACTAATTCTAACGATACGACCAGCTGCAGAAACTGACCTGCTGTGCGTGGTGGTTCCACAGATGCAGCAGAACACCGGGCCTGGCTGCATCACCTGCTGGGGCAGAAAACAGGCTTCGAGGCCCAGCCCAGACGTGCAGCCAGTACCTGTGGGACTGCAGTACTGGCAGCCACACAGCTGACTACCAGTTCAAAGCCTCACCCTGGTCGACCTAAACCCTCCAGGGGTGTGCATGCACGCCCAAGATCCTGACAAGCTGGAGGAAGGGGATTGCCGTGGGATGAGACCCCACCAAAGGTGCATCTCTAGATTGATAGATCTTTCTTTGCCATGTGCACTCTCTTTTTCTCTCTTTTTTGGAGAGATTTTTGCTATAGGGTGCGTGCGCTCGCCAAGAAGACAGAGAAAGACAGAGAAACAGAAAGCGAGAAATCACCCCCAGGAGGGATGGCCATGCCGCATTCCCTTCTCCTCCATTCTTCTCTTCGGATCTTGGGCACGCACGCACACGCGCCTGGTGTGAGTTTAAACCACCGGGTCCGGGACTTGAACCACGGTTGGCTACATGGGAATCCAGTGACATAGCCATTACGCCATTTTCTGGTCCCTGTGCTCTCTTTTATGGAAAAAAAAGAAAAGAAAAGAAAAGAAAAAAAGAAAAGAAAAGAAAAAAAGAAAAGAAAAGAAAA